AAAAAACACATAATAGTAAAATTAATACCTATTCAGCTTCGCATAGAAGCTAAAATATTAAGAAGTAAAATGTGTGACTTTTATTAAGTCCAAAAAATAAAAATAGCTGACTTTAAAATGTATCGAATAACCTTGCCGAATGATCTGTGAATGATTTAATTATCTCCTCGTGGATCATAATGTTAACAAAAATGTAAATGTTAATAAAATACACCAGCACACACGAAGTATTTAAAAAACAATAAACCCATAACTTTTAATTGTAATATATGCATTATGGTTTAGGTTCTCCAAAAACTATTTTCCTTTAATATGTATAGTAACCATGATTACCGCATGTCAAATTACAAATTAAGAAAATGTATTCATGATTTAAATTAAGTTAATTATTACTAAATTCCAATAAAACTAAGATATGATAGATAATAAAACACAACAATAATAAAACATAGTAAATATAAGACCTTCTAATCTACACATTAGCTGTGGAACCAGAAGGCAGGAGGGCAGTGTCCTCCAGTCAAAATACAAGAAGACAAAAATATCATTTCACTCTCCCAATTGAATCTGACAAATATTATTGCTAAAAAAAAATTATTATTGTTAAAAGATCTTTAATAATAATAAATATAAAACTTAAACCAGATCGATTTAGGTTTTAAAAATATCTTTAGTAATTTAATTTCAGTTTTGCCAAAGATTAAATTTGTTTTTTATTTAGTACTTCATCCATATACATATTTATATGTACGTATAAATTTTAATTTTTAATTTAGAAAAGTTATTCTGTTTAAAATGCTTGAATTTGTTTTAAAAGGCTCATAATTTGATTTGGATAATTTCCTAAGTAAATATAATGTATTTTTTTAATCATTATAATAAATAAAAAAAAATTTGAATAATCCTATATACTTTATTTTAGTATATTATCAATATTTATTAATATTATAATACAAATAATACATTATCAAGGATAAAGTTTATAAACTACCGGATTTTTTTTT